AACAACAACGGCTCCCGCCGGATATTTCCTCACAAGTCATGTCTCATTGGCGCTCCCGCGCGGGACTTCTTCACGATGTATACAGGAATCGCGCTCTCGCCTCGGACGCCGCGCCGTCGACGCTCAAGAGTCGCGCCCTCGCTGTGGGGAAATCGCGCTTATCGTTCGAGACTTCTTCGCAATTCATGCAGGACGCACCCTTCCGCAACCCGCCTGCTCGACCTGGCCGCGCGGACCCGCCTTACCGACCCGCCCGGTCGGGTTTACCCGCCTGATCTGCCCGTCTGGTTCTACCAAGTGTTTTTTGCTCCTGGCCCCCCTTTTGCTACTCCCTCTCTCGTCTTCCACCCTCCTCCCTTCCCCTTGTCCCTTCCTTCCATCCGTCCTCTCTTCCCCTGCCTTAGGGGATGCACGAAATACACGTTGAAGGTAAGGAAGAGGTATGCCCCCAAGAGGGCACGATCGGAGCGAAGGGGCGGGTAGCGAGGGTTTGGGATACACGTGTCGAATAGCACGCAAGCAGATAAGAGCGAAAAAGTCTTAAAATTATTGTTGTTGTCGTTGAATATTTCATTAGTGGAGAATAATCATTGTTGATTCCCCCTTCGGTAACATGTGCGCTTTTCACTTGAATTTGCCCCTCCCGGGGCTCGCACCATGTTTTCTTAGCCGGGAAAGTCGTCCTGCTCAAATTGAGCCCCTGGCCCCCAGTTTACAACAACAACAACGGTTTCCGCCTGATACTTCTTCGCAATTTACTGAGGAGTCGCGCTCTCGCAATGGATTCCTTGCAATTTGTCCCAGGATCGCCCTCTCGCGTGTGACTTCCTCAATTTTTTTTCAGGCGCCACGCCTTCGCCATAGAGGAGTATCGCTCTCGCTTGGGGCGTCCCCCTCCCGGGGCTCGCTGTGTTTTTATCGGGGAGAGTCTTCTTGCTCAAACTGCGCCTTCCGGCCTCCAGTTTACGACAAAGACAAGGGCTCCCGCCTGATACTTCCTTGCAGTTTATTAAAGAATGGCGCTCTCGCTAGGGATTTCCTTGCCATGAACCAGAGATTCGCGCTCTCGCCTGATACTTCCTCGCAATATATTCAGGCGCCGCGCCCTCGACACTCATGTATCACGCGCTCGCTCTGGATTCTCTCACGGGATTTATTCTGGAATCGCGCTGTCGCTCAAGGCTTCGTTGCGATTCATGCAGAAGCACGCTTCAGTACTCGCCCGAACTGCCCGTCTGGTTCTGCCACATGCTTTCTGCTCCTAGGCCCCCTCCTGCTACTCTCTCTCTCTCTCTCTCTCTCTCTTTCTTTCTCTCATGATCCACCCTCCTCCCTTCCACTTGTCCCTTCCTTCCATCCGTCCTCTCTTCCCCTGCCTTAGGGGCTGCACGAAATACACGTTGAAGGTAAGGAATGTATTCCCCCAAGGAAATTCGATCGAAGACGAAGAGGGTGGGTATCGAGGGTTTGGGATATACGTGTTGAATGGCACGCGAGCATATAAGAGCGAACAGTCTTAAATATTGTTGGTGTTGTTATTGTTGCTGTTGGTGTTCGTGGTGGTGATGGTGTTGTCGTTGTGCTTGTTGTTGTAGTTGTTGTTTTGTTGGTGGTGCTGTTGTTGTTGGTGTTATTGTTGCTTGTTGGTGTTGTTGGTTCATGATGCTGATGTTGATGTTCATGTTGTTATTGCTGTTGGATATTGAAATCTAGAAAATAATTGTTGATGATCTCCGGAAACGGTTACGCGCTTTCTCGCCCCGATGCAAGTTACATGTCCTCTGGAAACGAGGCTCCCGCTCGAGTGTTGGTTTGATTGTAAATGTGTGTTGTTGCAGGCCCGGCTCCGACGACAACGGTTCCCGCTCGATTCCTCACAATTTACCCCGAGACACCCTGGCCAGAGAGGACCCCGAACTCAGGAACGGCGTTCTCGCTTGAGACTTCCTCGCGATTCAGTCAAGTCGGCGGAGGCCCAGCCACGACGACAAGTGTTCCCGCTCGATACTTCTTACAATATGGTCCGAGACACCCTGGCCAGAGAGGCCTTCGAACTCAGGAATGGCGCTGTCGCTTGAGACTTCCTCGCGATTCAGTCAAGTTAGCGGAGGCCCAGCCACGACGACAAAGGCTCCCGTTCGATACTTCCTCACGATTTACCCCGAGAGTCCCTGGCCAGGGAGGCCCCCGAACCAAGGAACGGCGCTCTCGCTCGATCATTTTTCGTAAGTCGGACATGTTGGTGGAGGCCCAGACACGGCGACAAAAAGGGCTCTTGTTTGATATTGTTCAGAATGTGTTCCGAGAGCCCTGGCCACAGAGGCCCTCGAGCTCAGGAACGGCGCTTTCGTTCGAGATGTTCTCGTAATTCAGTCAAGTTGGTGGAGGCCCAGCCCGCCCACAGAGGCCCCAGCCCACAGAGGCCCCAAGTGCGCCCACAGAGGCCCCAGCGCGCTGCCCACTCAGGCCCCAAGCGCAGCCCACAGAGGCCCCAGCCCACACAGAGCGGCCCCCACGGGCGCCCACGGAGGCCCCCGCGCGCTGCCCACGGAGGACCAGCGCGCTGCCCATTGAAGCCCCCTGGCACAGCCCACAAAGGCCCCGGCACCATGCTCACAAAGGCCCCAGGCGCTGCCCGCAGAGGCCCCCTAGGGCTGCCCACAGAGGCCCCACCGCGCTGCCCTCTACGGCCCTAGACCCAATCCGCAGAGGCCCCCAGCACATCTACAGACGCCCCACCGCGATGCGTTCTCGGGTCCCAGGCGCTTGCATGGAGGCTTCTGGTAGGCAGGGCTGGTGGCGTTCACATGTATCATCGCACGACCTATCTGCCCGTCTGGTTCTGTCACGTGCTTTCTGCTCCTAGCCCCTTTCCTGCTACTCTCTCTCTTTCTCTCTCTCTCTCTCTCTCTCTCTCTCTCGCGATCCATCCTCGTTCCTCCTCCGTGTCCCTTGCTTCCATCCGTCCTTTCTTCTCTTGCCTTATGGGCTGCACGAAATACCCGTTGCAGGTAAGAAACACACACCCCTAAGGGGGTACGGTCGAAGACGAAGAGGGCGGGTATCGAGGGTTTGGGATATACGTGTTGAAGGGCACGAGAGCAGATAAGAGCGAACAGTCTTAAAATGAGTGGTGCTGTTGTTGATGATGGTGCTGTTGGTGTTGGTATTGGTGTTGGTGCTGTTGCTGCTGCTGCTGTTGCTGTTGCTGTTGCTGTTGCTGTTGTTGGTGTTGGTGTTATTGCTGTTGCGTTGTTTGTTGTCGGTTCTCGTAGTCCCATCCGCGACCCACTTGCCACCTACCCGCGAGCCAACAAGCGACCCACCCGCGACCCACCCGCCACCCACCCCGCGACTCGCCCGCCACCCACCCGCGACCCACCCGCGACCCACCCCGCGACCCACTCACTTTACTTGAACGGGGAAAAAAGGCTCTTGCGGCGGGCTCGTTGTATAATTTGTAATGTTTGGGCGTCTGCAGCGGGCTTCTCCAGAGCCTCGCACACTGCCGACGTCCCCGCCGCCCCCTCACCCTTATCCGCAATTGCGGGGTCCTACGCAGTACTCTGAGAGTTCGCTCCGATACGGCAAGCGCGCGCCACAATGATGAGGAACACATTGGCGTGCCAGAGTTTCAGGATTTTGAGAGAACGCTCGCAAATAAGGAACGAAGCCTTGTGGTTTCCAGGAGCGTTTGGGTGCGCGCGGAGCGCTAGCGGAACAACCAGGGAAGGACTTTAGGAACAGCGAGTTTTTGTTGTTCCGAACCCGAATTGATCAGTATTGCAGAGCTTTGAGTGCACGCGCAGAACATGTGACAGGAGGGCTGGAGTTATGCGGACAAGCACGTCCATTGGCAGCGCGCCCACTTGGCAATCAGTTGATAATCATCATGGAAGTACACCCTCGCCGCGAAGCATCGGACAGCACGTGCGATGAACAGGAGTTCGGCGTATTCGATTAGGTTCTAGTGAGGAGTACCACCAAAGTCAGTGGCATCGCATTTCCACACGAAGAGTGTCGCTATCTGCCGTAACCCTGAACGCGCGCAGCGCCGTCGGAGTCATGCACGGTCCATCCGTCGGGGAACGACGGGGATTGTCGTCTGTTTGTAGTCCTTGTCTTGCTGCAGCAGGACATCGGCGATTGAAGTTGCGCGCCACCTGCTGACACCTCTTGACGCAACAGCTGCACGCATCTCAAAGCAACGTGCTCAGCGGAGAGCCCCTCCCGCACCTCATGCAGCACTGGGCAGTTGCCCGTGTGCGCCGCAGAGTCGTTGTGCGACGCGTGCCAAAGAAAAAACAGTCTCCAACCAACTGCTGGTAGCCGATGGCTGGTGAGTTCGCCATCAGGGAGCCGTCGCAGCAACTCGCCAGTCGATGTTGTCTTGGGGCCACAGGTGGCATGTGGCGCAAGATCGTGTCCGCGCCCACAGCAGGCCACGGGGCGCCAGTCTTGCGCGCACGGTCGCCCGCGCGAGCGTGTATTCCGATTCATCACAGTGGCCGTGTAGCAGTCGGGGCACGGCAGTCAAACTTCCGCCGCCCCGATGTTCACATTGCAAGGTTTCGGTCCTTGTCCCACCTGGAAATCGACGAATCGCACCGCAGTTTGGGGCAATCGAGGAAATGGAAGCGGGCCAGCTGCTAGTGCGTTGTGTTGCATACCGCTTGCCACATGATCCATAGCTGCGCGTCCATGCTCCCCACCCCCCCCGCCCTGCCCTATCCACCACGTCGCCACCGAGGTCAGACTGGCCACATTTGCCAGGGGGAAAGAGGAGGAGAAGGAGGAGGAGGAGGAGGAGGAGGAGGGGGGGAGAGAGGGAGCAAGAGGAGAAGGGGGAGAGCAGGAGGTAGAATGAAGAAGAGAAAGAGGGGGACCCGCATTGCCTGCGGGCCACTGCAACAAGGGCGGGAGCGTAGTAGGAAAGGGAGGTGAAGAGGATGAGGGAAGATACCGGAAGGAAGAAGATGATGGCATGGGAGAGCGCGAAGGTGAGTACGCTCCTCTGCAGCAAGCTCGCCATCGACAAGGCGACGGCGGCGAGTCTCGAATGCAGCCGCAGGGGATCTGTAGCATTCATGGATCGGTGTTGCTTCTGCTCCTCCTCCTCCTCCTCCTCCTCCTCCTCCTCCTCCTCCTCCTCTGCCACCCCTCCTCCCTAAACGTAGTGTCTCATCGTCGCACACCAGACGTGCCGGTAGGGGGATCTGGACCTTTAATGATTTGTCTCTGACTCGTTTTCCTAAGTGCGAGTGGCCTCGGGAGTTTCAGAGCAGTGGAGCCGCGTCCGTCTCGTTCGCTGCTCCTGCTGCTGCTCTCTCCCTCTGCTCCGAAACCGCTCCTGCTCAAGCTCTATCATTCGAAGGGCCCCCGGCAGCGCATGGTGGTGCCGTGGGCCGCAGCCGGCCCGTGGGCGGCCTCCATCGCGACCGCGTGGCTCTCGCGCTGTCCCGCGTGCCCGGAGGCCCGCGTGACGTGCGGGGCCTGCCCCGCGTGCCCTCCGGCGGCGGCCGCCGCCCCCTGCCCGGGCTGCCCGAGCTGCCCGGACTGCAGTCTGACCTGCGGGACCGGGCCAGGCTGGTGGGCGGTCCTTGCCGCCCTGGCTGCTGGCCTCGCGGCCGGTGGCAGCTTCCGCGTGGCGCTGGGCTGGGCCGCCCGAGCCGCCTCGCTCTTCGTCGGCGGGACCGACCCGCCGCGGCGCGAGGGTGTGGCGCCCGTGACCCTGCTCGTCGAGGACGACGGAGCGGGCCAGGACGGCGGCGCGCAGCGCCGCTTTCGGGCAGTGCGAGCGTAGCCTGATCGTCGGCCGTCGGCAGGATGGCGGCGGCGGCGATGCGCACGCTCGACGTGCCCGAGGCGCAGGTGTGCGTGAACTACGACGACGACGACAACTTCCGGTGGCACCACAGGGTGCTCCTCGAGCAGCTCAGCCCTGGCATCTGGGTGGCGGCGACTCCCGACGGCGAGGTGCTGACGCTGGACCTCAGCAAGCACCTGGTCGTCCCCCTGCGCCGGGCGTCCGCGTTCCCGGTCCGGGTTCGTGGGCAGGTCTACGCGTTCGGCGACCAGTCGGACGAGGACATCGAGGCGCTGCGCGTGGAGGCGCGTGGCCTCGCCCTGGTCATGGGCGTCGCTGCCCCAGCTGGGACTGCTGGCGGCGTCGTGCCGCGCTGGATCGTCTCGGACCCAGGCTCGCCCGAGTTCGGGCGCGAGCTGGACCTCCACCTCATCGGGAACCCGGAGCGGCTGATCAGCCGCGACGCGGTGGGCATCGCGATGCTCAGCGAGGAGGAGGGCTGGGTCTCGGTCGAGAACGTGCAGCAGGCCGACGAGGAGGACTGGCGCGCCGAGAAGCGCCGAGGCCCGGGGCGGGACCCGCGGATCCTCCCGCTGGCGCGGCGGGGTCGCGGGCTCCAGGTGACGCTCGGGGAGGCGACCGCGAAGATGAACGCGGTCGACTTCGACGACTGGCCCTTTCGGGGGCCGAAGGCCCTGCCCGAGCTGCTGGCCGCCATCCTCGCCACCGGGCTGACCCTCACGTCCTACTGGGGGTACTGGGTCTCGGAGTCGGGGGTGTCGCGGAACGCCGCGGTGGCCCAGGAGGTGCGGCACGCGCTGAACCAGCTGCACCACGCCGTGACCTACGACCTCGTGGACCCGTCGAACCTGGCGTCTCTGGAGCTCCTGGGACGCCGGGTGCTGCAGATCCAGCGGGCGGTGAAGAGGTGCCCGCGCCACCCGAGCTTCGAGGGCCTCGGCCTGATGCTGAGCAGCTCCTTGGACGAGAGCGGAGGCGTCGTGACGTCGAAGTTCGACGCGTTCGTGGCCGAGGAGCAGAAGTCGCAGGGCATCATTCTGAAGCAGGAGCGGATGTACCGGGAGGAGCAGGAGTCGGAGGCGAAGAAGTACGAGAGGCAGGGCGACGACAGGGAGAGGGGCCCCAAGGCGGATCTGAAGGGCAAGGCAAAGCCGAAGCCCAAGGCCGCCGCGAAGGATCAGGGTTGACGGCGCCATGTCGGCGCCATCATGGCTGGGCACTCCGCCCGGCCTCACTGGGCCTGGCCCTGACTCCGCAGCCGCGAATGCGAGTCGGGCCGGGCTGCCCTCCGAGGGGGTCTCCTCCGAGGGTCGGACTTCGTCCACAGTTTTGTTTCCTCTGCCGCAGGGCGACGAGTTCTATCGCCACCCTCATCGTGGAGAACGTGCCGCTCTGCCTCGGCATCTGGCCCAGCGTGCTGCTCGTGCTGACGACCGTGATCGCAGGTCTCTCGAGACTCTGGGTGCGCTCAACGCGCTGGCAGGCGCACGGGCTGGGGGGCGTCTCGAGCCTCGAGCGCCCGGCAAGCATCGGCCGACTACCGCCCAGGAGTCGGTCATCAAGCGAGTCCGACGTCGTGTCCGCGGCTTCGGCGACCGACCGAAAGACATGGACTGTGCTGGAGCCCTGCAGGAGCTCCTCAAGTGCAAGGATCTGTACTCGAACATGGGCGAGGCTTCTACTCGCCGCGACTATGATGCTGACAAGCTCAATGTGTTACGACGTGCGCCACATGACCGGCCTCGTCAGCTTCGAGACGTTGCCCCTCGGCACGTCACCGAGGCGCTGGACCACTTCAACTCGGACGTCGTTCGCCCCGCGCCGAACATCCCCGAGGACGAGGTCATCGTGGAGCCTTACTGGGACCCTCTCCTCAACCCGCGCGACCCTCGGAACCGACCACGCCTCGTCGACTTCCTTCGACGACTCGCTGCACGGGGCTTGGTGGATGGCCGGGCGCGTCGGAAGGCGTGCGTCAGTACCTTCTTCGTCGCCAAGAAGAACGGCGACATACGCATGGTCGTGGACGCTCGCCAGCCCAACCAGCTGCACAGGCTCCCCCCTCGGACTGTGCTGGCATCCGGTGAGGCGCTGGGCTCGATCAACTTGCTCGACGCCGCCGGCGCGAGCCCCGAGGACTTGGCGGATTTCGACGGCTGCTACGAGTCGCTCTGCGCAGGCTCCGTGGACCTCATGGACGGGTTCTACCAGTTCGCCGACCCCTCGTGGGGCAGCTGGATGCGCTTCGACGTGGAGGTCACCGCGGACGAGCTCGGGCTCGATTCGATCTACGACGAGAAGCTCGGGCGCCGCGTGGCCGTGTCAGGCGACGACGTCATCTGGCCCTGCTTCGCGGCGTTGCCCATGGGCTGGAGCTGGGCGCTCTGGATCTGCCACGAGGTTCTCGTCGACGCGATGGGCGAGGCGGGCCTCCCAGGCGACGGCTGGTGCCTTGACAAAGCCCGTGCGCCGACTCTCGTCGGACAGGGTGTCGTCAGGGCGCCGTGCGTCGACAACGGGAATCTTGTCGCGCTCAGCGCGCCGGCGCTCAACGACCGGCTGGACAAGCTTACTGCTGAACTGGATCGTCGTGGGCTTCGCTGGCACGAGCTCGAGCGCGCGCAGCCTGGCCTTGTCGTCTTGGGGCTGGTGCTCGACGGGCGCGAGGGCCGACTCAGGCATACCGCCAAGCGCGCCTGGAGGCTCTACCTGGCTCTGCACCACGTGCTTCGGACGCCATGGCTCGCCCGCTGGCAGCTGCGGCGAATCGTCGGCCACCTGGTGCACTACTTCTCCGTCGTGCGCCCCGGGCTCAGCGTGCTGGGGTCCTGCTACACGTTCATCGGAGACGGCGACCTGTCCCCTGTCGCGCGGTTGCCTGGAGATGTTCTCGGTGAGCTCGCAGTTGCTGCAGGCCTCGTCTTCCTCGGCGAAGTGGACCTGTGCCGCGTGCCGTCCGACGTCGCCTTCACGACCGACAGCTCGCTGCGAGGCTACGCCGTCTGCGAAGCCCGACTGGAGCCCTGGGAGGTACTGGCGGCCACCAGATGGCGCGAGCGCCAGCGGTTCGTCGCCACCGAGCCCGAGGTCGCGCCCGACGACGAGCAGTACGAAGGGCGGGCCGCCGGCTTTTGCGACATCTCCGGGCCACTGCCCGTCGAGCTGCCGCCCCGGCTGCGGCACGCCGTGGCCAAGAGGCGCCGGGTCGAGTTGGAGATCGGGGTCCCGCCCGAGCCGTTGGCGGCCGCCCTGCTGGACGCTGGTCGCTGGGTGGAGCGCCGCCGTGGCGCGTGGCGCCGGCCTGGCCGCATTCACGCCCTCGAGGCGCGCGCCGCCGTCGCACCGCTATGGAGAGCGGCAGGCGACGTCAACTTCCACGGGAAGGAGATCCTCAGTCTGTGCGACAACATGTCGTCGGTCCTCGCCTTTGAGAAGGGCAGGGCCACCAATTTTGAGCTCCTGGCGCAGTGCCGCCGGGTTGCGGCCGTCTGCTTCGGGTGCGAGATCCGCTGGCGCCCGAGGCACGTGCCAGGCATCTACAACGTCGCGGACCACGGGAGCCGGGCGGCTGACCGAGGTGAGCTCCTCGCCGGACGCTACCGCGGACGAGGCGCCCTGTCGGCGCCCACCAGCGGCAGCCGCCGAATTCCCGTGGTCCCGCCAGCCGCGGGCAGGGCCAAGGCCCCGCCGACCGCGGCTACCGAGTTTGAGATCGGACGAGAGCAGGCCGAGTTGCTGGGGCCTGAAAACACCGAAAGAGACCGTTGCATTCCGTCACCTCCGTCACCTCAGCTTTCCTCTACCACGCATTCCTTTTCTTATTAGAGTAAAAGGCATCAAGATGAGGTCTCGAAAGTACGCCCCAACGAGCGACCCCAACGAGACCGACCTGAGCATGTTCGATGCCTCCCTGTTGCACTCGAGCCTCCTGGAGTTCCTCTACGGGGCCCACGTGTACATCTTGGGGCACGCGAAGATCCTCAACGGGACCCTCCTGAGCGCCCTCGGCCTCCTGAAGTTCTTCCACAGGGCCCACCTGTACACCTTGGGCCACACGAAGAGCCTCAACGGGCACTGGCTAAGCGCCCTCGGCCTCCTGAAGTTCCTCGACGGGGCCCCCCTCGTAAAGCCTTCCTCGAGATCTTCGCGGGCACTGCAAATCTCAGTGGTGCGTTGCATGAGCGAGGTTTTCGGATCATGCCCCCGATGGAC